GGAAGAAACATGATCATAATAAAGAAGAAAAAGAAAAAAAAAGAAAGGCAAACACACACACACACCAAATCAGTTGAGTGCGTTTAGTGAATGCGTTGTGAAGTTTTAACGTACACAATTCACCGAGTAGCACAAGCCGGTAGATAACAGAAACACATTAACTGGTGTAATGTTTTAACTTGCATGTGTACATATTTACGTGAAATAGTGTGTACATTTGGGGAAACAAGAACTTGAACAAAGTTACGGCAACCCAAATGTAACTTACATCGCTTACCCCTATTAGGGGGACAAGGCTTCGTAGATGAGGCTGGGAGTAATTATTGCAAAGTTCGGGCACTTGCTTGAATTTCACCTTGCAATTCTATTCTGTACTTTTATTGGCGTCAGTGTGCCCCCCCCCCCCCCAACTTTATTATTTTTTTTTTTTTTTTTTTTTTGTAACAATAAAAAAAAAACAATTGAGTAGGTCTATAAATAGAACGTCAAATCCGTTTAGCCAGACGTCATAAATTGAATGGAATCTTGGGCCATGTAACCTGATAAGACGCGTATTCTAGACTGCTAAGACTGTATTATTTAGATAACCCCCGCGTGGAGCCCAACAACATACAATGAGCGGGTTGCCCTGAAGCGTTTCATTGTTTAAAGAAAGAACTGTGTCTCGGCTCTTAATTTGTTATTATTAAAGCGGAATGCCCGACTGTAAAAAAAATAAATACAGAGTAGTTTTCAAAATAAATACATTGATTTTTTTGCTCCTTAATGTCAACTGATTGATACTTTTTGGCTTCGTTCTCCTTCATTAAATTGCTAAGAAAATAAAATGATATGAAAAAAAAAAATATCTATGAAGTTTGATAGCCCTGCAATCATCTGAACTTTAAAAAAAAAAACAACAAATAAAACAATAAAAACAAAACTATAACCGCCATCTAAAGAAAGGGGCAAGCCTAACCGTAAACCTAATCCCTAACCCTAAGGGGCGTTTAAGGCTAATAATATATTTTTTTAAAAATATGCATACAAGTAACGTACTTTATAAGAATCCCAATTAGTGCTCCCCCCACCCCCCACCCAGGCTCACAAACGTGACATTTTTTTTTCCACGCCCCTGAACTATATTAATATTCTAATGCCCCACCCGCTTTTAGAACGCAGATTCATTTCACCAACATTTAGAAAAACAAAAGGAAAATATTACGCACCAAACGCACTTGTGATATTTAAAAAAAAAAAAAAGAATCTCATTTATCGCAATTTGAGCATTTTATTTCGTCAAATAAGTGACGTCATATTTTCTTGATTTCCCCCCTTGAAAAACAGGAAAACCTGTTTGTTTTTTTGGAGGTTTTAGGCTTAAAATTTGGAAGAAAACTATATTAATATTCTAAAGCCCCACCCGCTTTTAGAACGCAGATTCATTTCACCAACATTTAGAAAAACAAAAGAAAAATCTTACGCACCAAACGCACTTGTGATATTTAAAAAAAAAAAAAAGAATCTCATTTATCGCAATTTGAGCATTTTATTTCGTCAAATCAGTGACGTCATATTTTCTTGATTTCCCCCCTTGAAAAACAGGAAAACCTGTTTGTTTTTTTGGAGGGTTTAGGCTTAAAATTTGGAAGAATGTGTTGTCATCGGCAACGGGTCGATGTGCTCGATGGGTTGACGGGAAGTGGGTCAGTTAACCGTCCGAGGATTTTGTCAGCCAGAAACGTACAGAAAAAAAAAAAACGAAGTTAATATGAAGAATCTGATTAGTCATTTTATACTCTTATACATTTATTTGCATCGCTAGTGACCTATATTCTTTAAATTAATTTTATTCACCAGTGATCTTTATTCTATAAATATATTTGACTCGGCTAATGATCTGAATTATATAAACCTGTTTGATGGATTGATTAATTTAACCACTTCGCACCTCAGAGACAAAAGACAGACCACTGGTGCCGTGTACCAAAGTTCAATTAATTATGCTCTACACAACTCGCCCTTATAACGATGGTAAACCACGCCTGCCTGGCCGAAGAAGACACCGTCGGTTCCTCGGGTATTTAAATATAGTCATCGATGTTTATTAAACGTGTCTAGATCACCTCGGCTTTTTGATTATTGGTGTTTATAAAACGTGTCTAGATCACCTCGGCTTTTTGATTATTGGTGTTTATTAAACGTGCTTAGATCACCTCGGCTTTTTGATCATTGATGTTTATTAAACGTGTCTAGATCACCTCGGCTTTCTGATCATTGATGTTTATTAAACGTGCTTAGATCACCTCGGCTTTTTGATCATTGATGTTTATTAAACGTGTCTTAGATCACCTCGGCTTTCTGATCATTGATGTTTATTAAACGTGTCTAGATCACCTCGGCTTTTTGATTATTGGTGTTTATTAAATGTGTCTAGATCACCTCGGCTTTTTGATTATTGGTGTTTATTAAACGTGTCTAGATCACCTCGGCTTTTTGATTATTGGTGTTTATAAAACGTGTCTAGATCACCTCGGCTTTTTGATCATTTATGTTTATTAAACGTGCTTAGATCACCTCGGCTTTTTGATCATTGATGTTTATTAAACGTGCTTAGATCACCTCGGCTTTTTGATCATTGATATTTATTAAACGTGTCTTAGATCACCTCGGCTTTTTGATCATTGATGTTTATTAAACGTGTCTAGATCACCTCGGCTTTTTTATCATTGATATTTATTAAACGTGTCTTAGATCACCTCGGCTTTTTGATCATTATTGTTCATTAACGGGTCCTAGATCACCTCGGCTTTTTGATCATTGATGTTTATTAAACGTGTCTAGATTACCTCGGCTTTTTTATCATTGATATTTATTAAACGTGTTTTAGATCACCTCGGCTTTTTGATCATTGATGTTTATTAAACGTGTCTAGATCACCTCGGCTTTTTGATCATTGATATTTATTAAACGTGTCTTAGATCACCTCGGCTTTTTGATCATTGATGTTTATTAAACGTGTCTAGATCACCTCGGCTTTTTGATCATTGATGTTTATTAAACGTGTCTAGATCACCTCGGCTTTTTGATCATTGATGTTTATTAAACGTGTCTAGATCACCTCGGCTTTTTGATCATTGATGTGTATTAAACGTGTCTTAGATCACCTCGGCTTTTTGATTGGACGTGAACAACCGTGGCTCCTGGCACAAAGGGGTGTATGTGTCGCAACAATGGCTTCTTCTGACATATAGCTATTAAATTGATTGGGGGGAAACATAAATAAGTATAGTGCGAGGTCTCTGAAGTGGAATTTCAAGGCGGGCGACGATTGAAGATCGTTGAATATACCAACATCAGCAGGCTGACATGTTTTGGGGGTTTTGTTCTATTAATTGTGTGTGTGTGTCTGCACCCCTTATTTTTATGAATATATATATTTTTAAAAACTTTATTTTCACCACAACCGCACCAAAAAATATTTAAAATTAATGTGTTGTGTGGAGAGGGGCAGTGGCGTATGAAGGGATGCTGAAAAAAAGGGGGGTAGGGGGCTGGCCGCACTTTTTTTCTCTTTATGCTAAGTGGCGGCCCTTTCGGCCAACTACAAGAACTTTTTTCGTGGAATTGAGGCAGCTAAAAAAAAAAATAATAATAAACATCTTCCTTTTACCAGTCCCGGGGCGGCACTAGCCTTAGCGACGCCACTGGAGGGGAGTTCAAAAAAAAAAAAAAATATGACGAGGGGAAGAACACCCTGGGTTTGTTTAAGTGATCAATATCCCGGTAAGGGACAGAACATCAATCTCTGCTGGCCCCAATGACGCCGTGTCGTGAAGTGTGCATTGTTGTAAACGGGTTCCCGACTGGATGAGTGTCGACTTGCGTGAGACCAGGAAATGGGTTACCCAACAATAATAGCTGTGGGTTGTTGGGGTTTTTTTTTGTTTTTTTTTAAATTGTTTTTTTTTTTTTTACGCTGTTTTAGGTAAATTATTTTTTTTATTTTATTATTATTATTTTTTTTTTTTCAAATGTTGATTAGCACTGAACTGACGCAGTCAGAAACTTGGTTTATTTAAATCATTTCAATGGAGACTTTAAAAGTTTTTAAGTTTGTTTTTTTTATCAGAGGTGGCATTTTGGACCAACTGCAGAGATTTGTTCGTGGAAATGGTGGGCCACGGGCCGCGGCACTCGCCCTAGGTACGCAACTGACTGCATCACCATTCATGGATTTGTGGTCCATAGAAATATGTCGGCAATGTAAATATCCACGCAATACACTTGATGGTTGATAGGTAGATGGGAATTTGAAGGCATTGATGATCGAAGGGATCGTTCAAATGTTATGGTTAAAAACGTTCTAAAGCATCATTCCATGAGAAATATAGACATACAGACAGGCAGGCATTCAGACAGACAGGCAGGCAGGCAGGCAGGCAGATAGAAAGGCAGACAGGCAATTATACAGACAGACAGGCAGGCAGACAGGCGGGCAGACAGGCAGACAGACAGGCAGACAGACAGGCAGACAGACAGGCAGACAGGTAGGCAGACAGGCAGGCAGGCAGACAGACAGACAGGCAAGCAGGCAGGCAGACAGACAGACAGGCAGACAGACAGGCAGGCAGGCAGGCAG